GGGCTTCCTGCTGCCAGAGTAGCAAGGGCCCCTTCTGTTTCTGGCAACATGTTCCTGAGATGGACACCCTACCTTTAATCTCACATTCATTTAAAAAAATAACTTCCCCATGATCACAAGTTCCAAAACAAAAAGTTAATGTACCCCTGGGAGACATCACCCCATTTGACAGATCTCTTAGATGCGTTCCTCAAATGGCTGTAAGTTTCCTTCCATCTGAAATTTCCAAGTGCTAAAGAAGCCGTCCATGTAAATCGACACAATAACAAAGAAATAATTCCTTGGAATAATAAGGATTTAGCCAAATATGTTAGGCTTTTAAAGCGATATCTTTATACAAATTCTCCATGTTTTATTTGCTGGGTTAGCAAAAAGCTCATCTGATTTAAAAAATAAGAATATACTGCTATGTACATATTTTTCTTGGAAGTATATAAATTGTTTCATGTGAATAAAATATAGGCCTCTATTCAATAAAAAGAAAATGAGAGAAAGCAGAGATCATTAGATGTTTTTAAAAGTGTAAGTTCAGGGTCACGCTAATTCCTCTTGGTCTAGCGCTTTTTATAATTTAGACAACATTTGTGTTGAAAACTTCAAAATCAGACTGAAAATAGAAAAGAATGCATCTTTACATTTTTTAACACTGAACCATTTGGGCACATAGAGGTATTATAATTTTGTAACTTAAATGACTGAGAACGATTCTTTGTTTTAGCCTCAATGAAGATGCAATTTTCTAGTGGGTCAGGAGGCTGAGGCAGGAGGATCATGAGTTTAAAGCCAGCCTCAGCAACTTAGTGAGGTACTAAGCAACTCAGTGAGATCTGTCTCTAAGTAAAAAATATTTAAAAAGCTAGAGAGGCGGCTCACTGGTTAAGCGCCCCTGGGTTCAATCCCCAGTACTGCCGCTCCAAAGAAATGTAATTTTTATTTTCTGGTTTTAAAGAGATGAAAAATAAAGGTTTGCTTAAAAATTTTTATTTGCACCTATTTATGTGGAAGCACGTGCACCTAATGGGAACAAGCTCTTCTAGGGATGCGAGGGGCTGGGGTCTGGGCTGGCTGATGCCTGTTCCTAGTATGGGCCTGGGCTAGTTGCTTAGCCAGGGCCTCTGAGGGCTCCACAGTCTTCCCACTGGGATGCCTTCACAGGGAGGCTGTGAAGAGTGAATGGAATGAGGCAGTCAGCAGTGTTTCCAGCACCATGCCAACCATATACAGGGCACTCCAGCTCATATCTTCCCGATGAGAGCTTGCATCCTTCCTGATGTATAGACCAGGCACATAACACTCAAAAGGGCAAGTACATAACCCGAGGTCACAGAGCCAGCAAGTGAAAGGAGTAAGATTTAAATCCTTGATTCCAGTGCCTCAAGCTTTCCCTCTCTCTACATGACCACTTGGGGACACAGGATACTGCTAGTCACAGAAATTTTGCCATGTATTATATTATACACTTTGTGTAACTTTTCAGGGCCAATGACATTTTTCATTCCATAGAAAGTATCTCTCTGAAAGATAAAACATGCCATAACCAAACTAGGAAATCTACACTTTAATGAATCAAAAATATATTTTTTCTTGAATACCAGAAATAACCTAAGTCTTAATTTGGCCAAGGGCTGCTTTATTAAACTCTCTTTAAAATACATGCTGATTTCCTTCTGGTTTTATAAACATTCGCTGAAGTATCATCTTGACATATGGATAATAATTTCTCCCCAAAATACTAATTAGCAATAATAGTTTTGAATAATCTGTCAAAGATTTTAGAAAGTGCTGTGCCTTCCAAAAAACGTGCTAATGGCAAATGGTGTGTCTTCAGTAAGCATGTCAGCAATATTATTTTCAAAGCATGGAAAATGCTGGAATAGCAAATTTATAAGATAACTCAGCCTGCTGCATCTAATAGGACTCAGTCACTCAGGAATCTAAAAGCTTGAGTAGACCGACAATGAAAGTCTAGGAAACTAGAACATTTCTGGTCAATAGATGCATTAGCAACGGGAGCCCTGCTTTAGAAAGTTCTAAGACCCAGAGTAACAACGGAGCTTGCTTCCTCCTCCTCCTCCTCTTCCCTGTGCTATTTTTCTTGTTAACTTGTTTCACATCAAGATTATAGAACAAGTTAGCCACTCTGTGGGAGCTCATGCTTAATTTAAATTATGGGCCTCTTCAGGGCTCTCCTCTCCCTCAACGTGTGTGGAGGGCCCCAGCCCAGGACTCTGCAGAACCACAGCCACAATGAAGAATGGGGAAGAATGGGGAAGGGTGGGGGCGGGGACAGGAAACAGAAGGCAGAGCCTCTTCTCCATCATGTGGAAACAAGGACAAATTAAAAGCAAAGGTGCGGAGTTATGTTGTCACAGATCATGTTATGTTGCCCAAACATGTTAATATAGTTCAATTGCTTATCCTAGGAAACACGACTTTTAGACATTTGTTACTACACACTATTGGGTTTCGCTGAGATGTATCACATGTTGAACCCAGGAAAATACCCCAAGTATATATTATATTTTGCTTTTGATGCGGACAAAAACAAAATAATAATATACCTGTTTTTTTCTAAGTGGCAGATGACGAACCATACATTCTTAAATATACTTCCTGTTTCTTCATCTAGAGCCCTTAGAAATGACCCAGCTCTCCAAATGCAAGCTGCTGTGCCAGTTCTAAGGCCACCGTTGGGTACCATCATGACACACGCAGGCATGCTGGAGGGTCAGAAGCTAGGTGGCTGCTCTAAGTCTTGGAGATGTAGCTTATTAGCCTTGCCGGGGTGCTAATAAATCTCCACTACGCAGCGCGGGTGGCCCTGCCCAGGCCTGCCTCCTTACCTTTGACATGGGGAAGGAAGTGGTGTCGGAAGGGGGGGTTGGGGCGGGAGTCGCTGTGGGTGGAGCTGAAGCTGCTGGTGCGCGGGTGGGACACCCTCTGCACACCAGGAGACAAAAGCTCTGTGCGGCAGGGAATCGGGACAGGGCCGTGGAAACAGAAAAGAAGAACAGAAATTAACACAGGAGCAGGGAAAGTGGCACTGTTCCAACGGGGGACAAAAGTGTTAACCAGGAGTCTGAAAAGGAGGAAGGCAGACGAGTTGTTACGAAGGCACCTGCAGAGGGTTAGGCGAGGGTGGACAGAGTCACTCTCAGAATAAATGGCTTTGGTGACGAGGAATGGTCCCCCGGGAAACGCTCTGGCAGTTTGACGCCAGCTACTGTGGAGCGAGGACTGGGCACAGCATGTGGACTCAGTGACACCGGATGATAAAAAGCACCTGACAAAATGGAGCCCTCAGAAATGCCCGTGGAAAATGACAGTCATTTCAAGAAACGTGAAAAGAAGTCCTTGTGTATAGGGGTTGTGTTATTTTTTTCAAGCTGCAAACTCTTCATCCCACTTTGCAGTTTTACATTTTATTTCACCTACACAGAAGGAAAGTCCGTTTGTGTTCCCCAGGGGGCAGAGTGGGGTTGGCTCTTGAGAGCTGGCATCACTGGGGACGGGAAGCAGCATCTCAGAGAAAGAATGGACCACTGCATCTAGACCTGGACCTGGGCGATTTAAGACATCATCCAGCACCCAGAATTTGTAGGGTGGATACACTGGGGTGTTGTACTCAGATCACAAATACCCTTTGAGTTTCATTTTAAATGGGTAGGGCTCCAAAAAGACCAGCTTAACACTTGGAATGTGCATATTTGTAGCATATTGTGAAAGGAGGGAAGAAGAACATTCCAAAGGGTCCTGGCATCAGAACCGTGATTGGAAGAGATGAAGACTTTCCAGTGCTCAGTCAGGACGGGAGCTTGTCAGGGGGCAAGTGTTGCTGACCACTCCCTCGCTGCTCAGGGGTGTGTGGAAGAAGATTACCCTGCAGCCCCCACACCATTCCAAAAGTGCCACAGCTGGGCTCTCAAGGGTCTTGGAATATGTACATCTGCAGGTTACAGCATGAAGGATTTCACACTGCCCAGAGAGCAAAGACTTAAATGGAGTCCCTTGTCCAAGACATGAATAAAATGAATGTAGTTGCACATTAAAAGAGAAGACGTTTCCTGAAAACTTTCATTTAACTTAATTCATTTAACATAATTCAGTAAGTAAATACAGATAAACCTAAAGAAATGGACACATTACTGCAATATCCAGTAGTTTCAATCTTATTACATTCTGCAAATCTCCTTTGGTTTTATTCCTTGTGTTATTTAAAAAGTTAGGATTTGAATGGGTTTGTGAAGTCTTCATAAATGGACAACATCAGCCCCAGGTTTGTTTGGAGGCCAACATCTTCCCTGTGACTTGCTTTCTCGGGGCTTCCTGGATCTCTCCTGGGATCGCCATTCTGCTACACACATCAGACCTCACTAAGAGCTACAGGAACTAAATTCTCTGTAGAAAAAAAGGGCAACCTAAAGTCTGCTACTACGTGACATTTTCTACTGTGGTATATCCCTGAGATTTCTGTATATTCCAAGTTTGATTCAAAATCTTAGGGTTGGGAGGCATCTCAAAAGTTACTAGTACAAGCCTGAGTCCTCTTTCTGGAAGGTACATAGCCACACATGCTTAGAAATGCTAGGTGCCTGGAAGAGGGTATTCCAAACCCCTGTCAATAGATGGCTAGTACTGGATTTTAGATGATGCTGATATGTCTAAAAAGCATATCAAAAGTACTTCCTGGTGGAGACCTTCATTATAAGTCTCAAAGTGACAAAAATCTTATCACACCTGAAAAAAAAAATCTCCTTTGCTTCCAATATTTCACTGTCAAAATATAATTTAATAAATTACAGTGAATATAGCCATAAAATGATTGATGTTCCAAGAAAAGATATAACACAAAATATAGTTGGGTATCAGTTTTCATTTTGCTATGGGAGAGGATCAAAAATACTAAGCAGTCAGATTTTTCAATATGCTATGCATGGCGGGATTTCACACAGAGGTAACAGCTTATCATGTAGGTGGATACTGGGAACTGTGGCCCTTACCGGGTCTGTGGAAATGCTGGGGAGAGCGCGAAGTGGTTGGAGTGTAACTGTGGCGGCTGTATACAGGGGAGTTGATGGAGCCCTGGCTGGTGGATCGATGGATCACCCGATCCCGAATGTCCTGGTAGCCCTGGAAACAAAGCATGGGAAAGAGTGAGGGCAAAATACTTTGATGCTACCTATGCACATTTCCAACAAAACGTGGTCCATAGCCAACATCGCTGGGGAGTTATCTTGGCTACCTGTTGGTGTTTACTTCTTAGGGTCACATTCCATAAATACGTAAGCACCTGAGCATTCTGTGTCTAATGCATTTTGTTCAAACCTACAGTTCTTGTAATTATTAAAAAATTAAGATGTAAAATCATAAACTCTATGACCATGTTTATATTGTGCTTTTCAGTTTTACAAAGTGTGTCCACCTATGTCAGATCTTCATAATGGTAAGGAAGAGCATGGCATTGCCTTCCTTCCCCACTAACGTGAAAACAAGGTTCCAAGCAGTCGACACACAAGTGCATGGCAAGCACAGGTAGGGGTTCCCATCCAATGGGCATCCATATGCTAACCTCATCCTACGTTCTGACCACTGACCCATGCTGTAACACTATATCTGGTGACATCTTAAGTTGACACACCCGGAGAACTTGATGATTGCCTTAAGGTCAGTAATTCTACTCCTCACCTTGGGAAGTATATTCCAGGGAAAGAATTTAAAATGATCTTTAAAAGTAATAATTCAAAGATTTTTATAATACCACCATCCATAAAGGCAAAGATTGGTATTATATACTCAACAATTGGAGAATAATTCAGAAACAATGACATATCACTTTGATAGAATAAAATGTCGCCCATGTCCAAACCCAGAAAATGACATATTGGGTGATAGGTACAATAAATTAGACATGTACAAATGCAATATAAAACTGTCCAAAAAAGTTGGAAGAATACAAAAAGTATTTTATGTTTCAGGAGTTTGCTGTTTTGTGAAGCTTCTACTAGCACATTCTTTAAAAAAAAAAAAAACTTAAAAGAACAGATGAATGACTGAATTAAAATCTCAGTGCGGTAGCTTTGTGAAATTGGAGAGCAAATGTCAAGGAAACTTTGGTTTGATTTACTTGGCCATATAAAATATACAATATATATATAATAGCATAATGACAACACAAAAAGTCCTCAAAAGATGTGCTTCAGTCTTACAACTAGTCCATAATTGAAGCTGGTTCTTCATAAATTCAGTTATAATTGTTAGATCAGTACTAGAAATCAGTTGCTCACAGTATTTACCCACAAACCATGGAAATATTATGGACTTTTCATGATCTTGAATTATAGAGATTTTCTATGATGGATTTTAGAAAGAGTATCCAGAAAGCTGCTTGATGCTAAGACCAGAACATAGAGTTTACACCAGAAGAAGTGACTTCCCGGGAAGATGGTTCTGCTTATGGATGACACTATGACCACTGTTGGCCTCATCAGGTGACCCAGTGCCTTAGGGTTCAGATAACTTAAGTGTATATGACACAGAGAGCCCCACACTGGATGGCGGCCTCAATCCCTCCAGACGTTCGCTTGGCAGTTGGAGGTACAAATTCAGATTAACACGAGGCCCCTTTTACTCCACAGATCACATTTAGAAAGAAATACATTGCTCTTTTAAGGTCCCACCTTACATGTATGTAATCCCTAGGCCACTGTAATCTCAGTTTTTGTTTCTTTATGTGTTGTGTCCTTTTCCAAAAAATTCCAGTCCAGACAAGATCCAAACCACTTGCAAATTTCACTCATTAAAATGGTCAAAATGGTACTTACTTCTGCTGATGGAGTAGGAGACAAAGTCCTTGGAGACTAGGACAATAAAAGAGAAGTCAAAGTCACAATGTTGTAAATTTTTTTTTACCAGTTTTAATTAGATTTGCTTATCAGATTAGTTGGGAACATTATCCCAAATACACGTGCCAACATCTGTTACCCATCCCTGTCTTCAGATTTAATATTTACTGGGGCCCGTGGTAAACTCTGATAAAGTTCTTGGGAGAGATTCTAGTGCACATTTTTTTGCCCAAGAGTCATGGTTTAACAAATATATTGTTAATAGTATTGTTAACTTAATAATCATATTGATGTCTTAAGTGATCAAACTGGACAAAATGGAATTATTTCCCCCTATATATTCAAACTATGCCCAGATTTCCACTGTACTGAGTTATAACATCTACAGAAACATGGGATTTTGTAAACATGTTTTTAACTAAATTATAACTTTGGCAATCACTGGAAAATAGTTTGGTAGGAGTGTGATGACCAGACATGTGGTATCCTGTCCGGGCTGCCTGGCCAATTTCACCACCACGCAACTTCTGGCTTCCAATCGTCCAGGTACACAGGCTTCCTTAGGGCCAGCAACAGGCCAAGTCCCGTCTCACCTCAGGGCCTTTGGACTTGCTCTTTCCTCCACTACCAGGGCTTTTCATGTAGACACCTGCAGGGCTCACCCCCATTTTCTATTCTATGAAGCCTCAGTTCGAAGTCACCTTCACACAGCACCTGCTGTGACCCTGTGTAAAACAGCAATGTCTCCCCCAGCATTCTTTCTTGTTACTTTCCTTCATTTTTCTTCATGACACTACCTCCCTGTAGAATTCTCCTGTGTATCTGTTTACTTCCTGTCTCCCAAGCTCAATGAGGGCAAGGACTGTTTATAACAATCTATTCCCAGTGATGAAAGTAGCTCTTGCCACATATTTGGTGCTCAGTGAATATTTTCTGAATAAATAAAATGTTTGTAATTAAAATGCAAAAAGTTTTCAACTAGAAATGAAATGCAAAATGAGCATTCTAAAGCACAACGTCAGTGGTGGATTTCTTAGTTTTAGAATTTGATCTTTTCCCCACGCTAACAATGACATGGCAGACTCTCTTGCACTGCAAGCTTCCTCAGGCCCCATGGTAATGGCTGCAGCTATGGCCTGTCTCTAGGGCATCTTTGCTGGTCAAGGATGGCCTCCTATGGAGAAGCTAGCTCTGCTCCTGCTCTGATGATGCATTCTGGATCCACTCTCCCAGGTGGAGGGCTATGCAGAACTCAAAGTTACTCCTGTGTTTCTAAAATGTCTATATATGGATTCTACAAAGGAAGTGTTAATAATGAATGGAATAAATAATAGAATAACTTGTAAAATTGACTCCCTGCATATTCCAGGAGACATCCTCCATCCATAGAGAAACCCTTAGGTCACCATTCCAGGTTATGATGGTAATGGCATTGAATCTGAGAGCAGCTAGAATTTCTGTTGAGCACTTATGTATGAATTACTGTTCTAATCTAAATACCTTACCTAATCCTTATATAAAGACTTTAGAGGTAGGTAGCAATTATTGTTTTCTACCTTGAGTTTACAGGGAAGGAGACTGAAATATGAAATTTTCTCAGTCATATGGTTCATAAATATAGGGTTAGTAAATACCAGAGTCAGTGTTTTTTGTTTGTTTGTTTGTTTGTTTGTTTTTGTGGGCACTGGGGATTAAATCTTAAATCCAGGGGTACTATACCACTGAGCTCCACACCTCTCAGACTTTTTTTTTGAGACAAGATTTTGCCAAGTTGCTCAGGCTGGCTCAAACTTGCAATCCTCCTGCCTCAGCCTCCTGAATTGCTGGGATTATAGATGTGCATCACTGTGTCCAGCAACAGTCTGATTTTAAATATTGAAAATTTCACTTCAAAGCCTTAAACCTTAAGAGCCTGATGTTTTACTGCCCAAAATGGATTCACTTGGAAACACAGACCACCATAAAAAAACTCAGCTCCTCCTTGGTTGTATGACTTGAACATTAATAAAGTCTCATCTACTTGCTCTAAGACCAGCCCCTATGTAATTTGTTCGGGAACCTCTCCTTGTCCTTGATCACTTAGGTCACCTTGCAACACTCTTTGTTGCCCAATGGCAACTCAACAGCCCAGGCCAATCAAACTGCATTTGAGAGCTGCCAAAGATGCAATAGATGCAATACAGCAAAGTAACCACTAGGTGGTACTACATGAAAATGGATGTCACCTCTGGTTTAATGGACCATGGCAATGAAGAGTTATGATCTGGAATAAAACCCCAATTAGAAAATAAACAAATAGGAGGAATGTTATATAAATATAAATCAATGTAAATATAATTATAAAACAATAAATATTATCTGTGTATAGCTGACGACAAATTAAACAGATTCACTATACTAATATGCTTTTCCTTTATCTCATTTAAGCCTAAAAACACTGTGTGATTGTCCACTCTCGTTTAAATTTGGCTGAATGGCTGATTTGAGGCAACTATTTGGTCAACATCTCCCTCAATGGACTCAATTAGTCTACAGATGATTCCAATTTAAAAACTAAAGTGGGAAGGGGTGCTGGGGCAGTAGCTCTGAGGTACAGCATGTGTTTAGCTCAGGATCAGTCCCCAGCACCAATAAATACATAAATAAATAGGAAAAAAAAAAAAGAATGAGTTGAAGAGGCCAGGAGAAAAAGACCAGAGGGAGGAGCCCAAGGGATGTGAAGCTGTGGTCCAGCAGTGGGGTGTGTCTGCTGGCCAAGCACCACGAAGCCCCAGGAGGACAGGTAATAATGGTGGCAGCTGCCATTTGCTGAACATTTACACATCTGTCCCTCTGTTAACTGCTCTACATCGATTAGTTTATGTAATCCTTTCTAGCCCCCTGTGAGGTAGCCTATTTTCCAGATGAGGGAGGTGGAATTGGAATGGTTGTCACATGGCAACGTCAGACCACCAGTGTGTGGTGGTCCCTGGGTGGAGCCCAGGTAACTTGATTCCAGGTCTCACCTCATCCCAATGTCCTTGGCTGTTACCGCAATCTCTACTTTTTTTCTTTTCTTGTACAAACTGATTATGTGAAGATGCTGAAAACTGTAGCTACCAAAATTTCGAAGATATGCTCTCTCTCATCAAGGTCCCCATGAATATATTTCAGGCTCATTTGAAGGTCAAGACCCTCAGAAGACCCTCCCTCCCCTAGTCTTCCCTGACAACTCTACAGCTTCTGTCCCAGCCCGACTCTGCTGTTTTATGTGCAGTTCACTGGTTCTCCCACCTCTGTAACTTCCCTTGGGACACAGATCACGTGACGGGTTTTGAATACCTTAAAGCACCTGGTGCGGAAACCCACAAACAAAAGACAGTCGAAAAGACTGATTTATTTTAACTCCAAACATCAGTTGTTGCACGTGTGACTACAAAGAAAGTGAACTGCGGTGCATCCTGCAACCACCAGGAACTTATTACCTCTCCAAGGCTCTGTCTCTCCTGCTTGTCATCATAGCCCGAGGTGTAGAAAGGCTCATAGGTAATGAGATCAGGACGTTCAATGTCATAAATTGCCTTGACCTTGGGGATGGCGGCTAAATCCTTGTAATCCAGGATTTCGTTGTCTACTTTTGCCTAGTAAAGTTAAATGGAGAGAATTGTTACTCTGCAGTCTCATTTCTTGAGAAACTATTGCCAGTAAATTTTATGTCTTGTTTAAAATGTGAAGACCTTAAAACAAACCAAAAACCCTTGCTTAGCACAGCCATGCTTTCCAGTGAATTACCAATTTATACCATCAGTTAATCAGGTTTTTCCCCCCTTAAATAATCTAAAGCTTAAGAAAAATTATGTGCAGAATTTGTTAAATATAAAAATGTGTAAACCTGAAGAATAATTTTCTAATTTACTACAGGAAAGGAAAGAAATCTCAAATAGATGGTCAAGAAATCAGTTCCCAGATGGCTAAAACCAAGAACTGCCTATTTAATAAACTAAATATTTAAATATCTTTGATGTCAGAATTTAAGAATACTCAGCAACAGTGTTATAAAAATATATCATTAATCCCTATATATCTGTATGTAAGTTAGGTGTCACAATTTTAGAAGTCCAGGACTGGAGGAGACACTCATTATAATTTGCAAGATCTGGGGTTTGATCCTCAGCACTAAAAAAAAATTTTATAAGTCCTGCATTTTGCAATCATCTTGTGATTTGATGACCACATACAAATTGAATCACCTGAAGGAAAATATGACCTGGAGGGCTGATGTACCAAGATGAACACTGGATCTCTAACAGTTAGAGATGAATCATTTTGCATTAGTTTCTGTTTTGGATTGTCCATTCTGCTATTTCAATCCCCAAACTAGCTGCCCCACAAATGTCCCTTCTGGAAGCAGATACTTACATAGATAGTGTGACCTGGTGAGCCAGGGATGCTGGATCCTGGTCTGGAATAAATACTTTCTGAAGAGGTCCTGGTTGGCTGTAAAATAAATGGTGACTTGTGAGATTTCAGCCATGGCATCAGAATCAAGAAGGCCTGGGGTCCTAAGCTTTACTAAAACTAGTTAAAGGAGGAGAGATGTGGTATCTTTTCTTTGCAGATAAGGGAAAATACAACCTTGAAGGAAAGGGACATGTAGACTAGTTTTGAGACCTGGCACCGAAAGTGCATTGGGGGCCTTTCTCAGTGTCTTCCTCTTCTTGCTCCCCACAAAAACCTCTGGCTTTCTCATGCAGCAAACTGCTCCCCCTCTGCATGGCCACAATCCCAGCCCTGTTACCACCTCAGCTCCTCTGGACTATAGCAATGCCCCCCACTGTGGGCTTCCAGTTCTTGCCCTTGACTTCTTCAAATGCACTTGGCACCCAGTGGATCTTTCAAAAGAGATTTATTTTATTTCTTTTAAAGAACATAATTTGAACTTCCAATATCCTGCTTTTGGCTTCAGCGTCAACTCGGAATAAAACCACAACTCCCAGGGCCTCGCTAACACTCCGCTGCCTTCTCCTACCTTGTCACTGGTCACCTGTCATCATTCACAGAAGCAGGAGCACCTCCCTGCCTGGGGGTTCTTATCCCCGATGCTCCCTCAGCCTGCAGTGCTCTTACCCACAATCTGACTGGGCTGACTCTTTTTCCTCCTTCAAGCCTCAAGTCTTAGATATCACCTGCTCAGGGAGGCCCTCCCTGCTCTCCAGGCCAGAGTTCTCACAGTGCCATTCTTACTTTTTTCTTTGTGAATAAAAATTCCAATTGATACATTTATTGGTTTTGCTGCATCAGGTCTGCCTCCCCCTTGACTTTGGTCATGCTCTCCACCCTCACGTAGTTGTCACCACTGCATACATCCAATGCTTTGCACAGGTATGCAGAAGGCATAAACATTTGTGGAGAGAATGAGCTCGAATTTATTTGCAGGCACCAACTCATGTCTCTTCCATGATTTGAGCCTAACACAGAGAACATCCTGAGCTTGAAGAAGGTGGAAGAAACAGGACCTCATCATAGGTACTTGAGAACCCTGAGAGTGTTGGTTATGCAGGCGGGACCCACGGGAAGTGAGTGAACTAGGGTTGAGAGCCTCCCCCCTCTGCTTGGCATATTTTGGAAAGTTTTACACAGAAAACCAAGGTCCTGGTCTTGAGAGACTTCCTCATGTCTGTGCAGTTATTTTCTGGAGTGGACGATGTTAAGGTCTACAATATAATAGGACATTTCCCTTTGGCACTGTTCCTACCAATAAATGACACCTTGAATATAGGTATAACTGAGCCCAAAGAACTCCTAACAGCATAGGAGCTGTGTCTCCAATTCACACCTGAAACAAGGAGCGCAGACACAGCTGGCCACTCAAGGCAGGCGTGGTCGGACTCATTCTCAAAGCCACACTCACAGGAGGGCTGTGCCCAGAGATATCTGACTGGGCAGTGGAGGGAGAAGTGTCACTATGCCCAGATGGAGGCATGCATTACTCAGCGCTTCCACGACCTGCCACATACAAGCACTCTCCTCCAACTGTGATTGAAGCTACTATTTCCCAATCACAGGTGAATTTCAATATGAGAAAATTCTACATCAGAGCATGTTGGAAAAGAAAGGATCTGGACACTAAAAGAATGTCCAGTTTCTAGATCCATTTCTCAATCAAACTACAAAAGTGGCATTACCCAAATATAACCCTCCTTTAAAAATCGTTTTTAAAACGTCCTTTTAATGAAAGTTGAAGTGACATCCATCTCTGTGGGATAATTAAATACAGGTAGTCCTTCAGGTTCAAGTAGCCAGGACTTAATATTTGCTAAACTTGGTATCAAATTAAAACCTCTTATTTAAGCAGCAACACAGGAATATCAATAATAGCCAGTGTTTATTGCCCAATTCCTATGTGACTGGCCTGTGCTGAGCCTGTATCAGCTTAACCACATTGAATCCGCTCAGTGAGATAGGTTTTCACCACATTTTACAGATGAGAAAGAGGTATGAGTGATCAAAGCTGCAGAGGTAGGAAGGGTCTGAGTTAGGATTTGAACCTAGGTAACTCCTGCACTTGATTTTTGTCTACATCATGAGGTGAGTGCACTCATGTATTTCCCAACACAGCTATGGAACAAAGAGGGTGAAAAGAAGGAATGCTAACTGAAAATATGCTCATTGTCCTGTGGGCTTGCTGCCTGAGTGCCCTGGGGTGGAGGTGGGTGGGAGAGGCGGGCTGCAGGGGTGACAGGTCTTCATTTACTGGAGCTGCTGTGACAAGGGCCTGTGTTCCTTAACAAGCACCTGGGCATTAATTGAAAAGCCAAGTCACATGCTGAGCTTGGTGGTGTCTTGTATGGAACTCATCCCTGTTTTTGCCGAGAGTGGGCCAGGGACATCACTGCCATTTCCTGCGATAACACACCTGGGGACGGCTCTGAACTGCTCGGTGGCTCTTGTCCTGTCCACGATGATAGGAATAGAGTTGAAGACCAATCTGAGCACTAGTGGGAAAGGACCCCTCTGCTGTCTCCCAGAGACAAAGAACTCCACCGAGACAGGGCTCAGGACAAGCTAGCCTGTTCAAGCTGCGTTTCTCCCTCCTTCCTCCTCGGATTAGCAGAGCTTGTGAGTTTTGTAGGCTTTCTCCAAGGCGTTCATCCTGTTTGGACTATGAATATTACTGGGCTAAAGGTTTTAAGGGATAATGAACAATTTGCATTTTCATCAAGTTTCATTCTTTAAACATTTTCAGATCTGAATCACCTCCAATCTGCATGGGCCTACCCCTGAGTTCTCTGATTCTGAAATAATCCAGACTTCTAGAGTCAGTTTTCAAAGTCAATTCAGCTGGTCACCAAGCCTACCAAGGCTCTTAGAGTGACTGCTCTGCCCCTCGTATCTTTAGGCTAGTTAGTGTTATCTGGAAAACGCTCAAGATGTTTCAGAGCTTCAGAAATGACCCTTGCATGGAACTTCCCGCTCACCACTGTTTACTTTTGCTCCATCCTGACCCATCAAACTCTTTTATAAAATTTACTTCCTTAGACCTCCCGTTCATGGTCAAGTTACATTCCTACTTCCTACTCCTTACAATGGCCCTTCTTTGTCTTCCTGTCTGTATTGAAGTAAGGGGATCCAACACAACTCTGCGTAGTGTAATATGGTGGGGTTAAAATCTAGTTCTGGAGTCAAATAATTCAGCTCAAATCCAGGTTCCGCTAGTTGTGCAGCATTACGGGAATTTTTCTTTCTTTTTTTTTTTTCCTTTTACCTTTCTTGAGTCCCAGCTTCTTCATTTATAAAACAAACAGGGGAGAGAGAACCAGCGACAGCTGCTTCATAGTCTTAAACGAGATGATACCTTCGAAGGTCCAGCCAGGCGTGAAGCAAGTGATCAGCATTAGAATTGATTTCTTGGCCAATTAGTCTCGAATATCAAAGGGCACTGCCTGCACTCACTTCCTCAGGATGGAATATTCTTTTCAGATGTGAGCCACACCGACAAGGCCGCCCAGAGTTCTCCATACCACCACATTAGGCCTCCTCCTCCTCAGAACACAGATGTGTTCATAATTCCTAGTGTCTGGTCGCAGGAACTGACAGTACCTTCCCCTTCTTAGGAACCCCGAGAAGCGCTTCTGCACCCTCTCACAGACTGTCTTCCTGCCTGGTCTCACTTCAGTAACTCATGCCCCTCCCGTGATGGCTGGCAGTGACCTTGCACAGGCCTGTCTTATCTGCCAGGACGGCTCTGCATCTGCTGCCTCCTGAACTGTGCTCCAGGGTTCAACAGCACAGTGGCTCCCCTGCTTCCTGCCGGGTCCCTAATGGCTCTGGGAGTGCATTTGCTCTCAGCTGGAGGTTAAAGGTCTTGCCTTTAAGAAGATAATAAATTACTTTTAAGAATTGAACAATTATCTTTGCAGTGTTTAATCTTAAATATTTAGAATTTTGAATTCAATAGGAAATACCTAAAATTCTGAACATGTTGAATTTTAAATTAATATCTTATTTACTATTGAGTCCCTTTTTTACTTCCAGCCATGTTTTCCCCCCTAATGGACACATGATTTGCTGTTATGACTAATAAATCTTCAAGAGGCAGAGAGCTCTCCTCTAACAGAGCAGACAAATCCACACACTGAAACTCATCTCAACCTTCAGGCACAGACTTCCTGATGCCCTGTCTTCCTCCCAAATCCCACCAGTTGTTTCTTATCATTTATCTAAGTCCAGCATCTCCTCATTGAGCTGCAACAAAATTTTATAGATAATTCTCATTTCCCTGTCTGATCCCTACATGCAATGACTTAACCTAAATTACCATTTCAACCCATTCAGATATTCAGAGTACCCACAGTGACCTGGTAATTATGAACTGAATTCACTAACTGAATGGGTCAGCAGCCTTTGTTTCCAGAACTCTGTACAGGAGTTTATGATGAACAAAATTCCTCTTGTGTCTATATTTCAAACATATAATAAATATGAAGTATCCCCAAAGGTAAGTTCACTTCTAAGGAGAAAAGGAAATAGCAAGGTTTCCCAACTCTAAGCTGCTGAAAGCAAGTGGAGTGTGGCTTATTTCTAAAAGCAAGTGGAGTGTGGCTTATTTCATTTAGCATGATGGTCTCCAGTTCCATCCACTTACCAGCAAATGCCAATACTTCATTCTTCTTTATGACTGAGTAAAACTCTATTGTGTATATATCCCAGATTTTCTTTATCCATTCATTTGTTGAAAATCACCTGGGCTGGTGATTTGGCTATTGTGAATTGTGCTGCTATAAACATTGATGTGCCTATATCACTGTAGTATGATGATTTTAGTTATTTTGGATAAATACCAAGGAGTGGGACAGCTGTGTCATGGTGGTTTCATTCCTAGTCTTTTGAGGAATCTCCATTCTGCCTTCCAGAGTGGTTGTACTAATTTGCAGTTCCACCAGCAATGTCTGAGTGTATCTTTCCGCCTACATCCTCACCAGCATTTATTAATATCT